CTCTCCGTGGCAAAAAAGTCCCTCGGCAGCAAATCGTCCCTCGCGGCGGCATATTACTCGCGTCGCTCAGAGAAAAAATTACGCCGACGCCCAACAAGACTGCGAAGGAGGCTAGCGATTTCAAAGTGTACGTTACGAACAGATACGCCGACAGCATTTTTTGGTTTCTAGATATTTTGTAGTTTGTACCTTCTTCTGAAACATATTCGACTTTCGTATTTGTGAAGTGCACCCCACTATAATTTTTACCGCGTCGAAGTATCATGATGACGAAAACTGTGTTCTGCTACCTGTCCTTAATGGTGGCTATCCAATATCTGCTTGGAGAGCCCCAAATACGGCACTCTTTTCATCATCATCATCAACATGGCTGCGCCCATGTCGAAAGGAGGCGTGGAGGTGAAATTCGTGGGAGATGAGGACGTTCTTCAGCATGTGGTGGACAAAAGACCGACGTTAAGTAAGCACCTGGTCATGTTGATGCCTTAGCTCATACATATTCTCGCCACTGCTTTATTTTGTTGTCAAACAAAGTCTTGCAGCGGTTCGACGTAGTGAGGTGGGGAGGGGGGCGGTCATAGACGTTTGCGCGGGTAGTTTTGAACTTACCCTGGATGCCAAACTCGTTTCGGGCCGCTAGCAATTTCCTTCGGCAGCCAAGAGCCCTTCGCCCGCGGCTGTAAATTACCGCTACGGGAAGTCTAGCACGGGGGGAGTTTGGCTGGCCCTTTCTCAACTCCCCCGTAGCGGTAAATTTAGATAGGCGGGCGAAGAGTTCTTGGCTGCCGAAGGAAAGCGGCTAACGGCCCGATACTACTAGTTTGGCATCCAGGGTATGAATTTCTCTGTTATTGAATTTCTTTGCCACGTGACGTGCTCATGCAACTTGATAGGTAAGTCTTTTTAGTCTTCCTCGTGATGCAAAATTAGCGGTCTTTTATCTTTATCACCGTTGGGAAAATATGGATTGGGATTTCTTAAAAATTACTTGTTAACTTCATAAAGTTTTTCAAGGCGGCACAACGCAGTTTTAGCCCTATGGGGATTTCTATAGTTAAGAACCCCAAAGTGACTCACTTCGACTCACTGAAAATCATAGTAGGGTGCACAAGCAAGGTTCAGAATGATATGTTTAATTTCAGGGTATAGTATACAAAATATGGGAAAATGAGCTTAGATTTGCCGGCTAGTTCTCTTCTCGCGCCCTCTTTATTAGCGCCACTGCGGAGGTCATGGAACTGCAGCCGACGCACAGTACTAGGCGGGACAAGTATCCAAGCGCAAATCTACGCCGACTGAACACGCACCATAATTCAACTTTTACAGTCTCAAAACTGACGTATTCCTGTAACATTTACCACAGGTTCTATCTCGATGCCATGCACAAAACAATCTCTGCACCCTTCTCTAGTATTGTGCAGCACTACTTTGTGCCCGGACTACTTTTCACTACGGGGTTCGGCCATAAATACTGTGTTGTGCGGCCTTAAACACCTTCTTGTTTTTACAACTCTGTCACATCAGTCAAGGATATAAACACAGAACGGGTAATTTCGTCCAAAACCTATATTTTAGAGCCTGAGATGCGTTATACAGGCAAATTTTTCCCAAGTTGTATCTTGGCTTCTGTAAGAAATTTTAGGAGAGTAGAAAAACACTTCTGGTCCCGATCTGGGGATCGAAGCAAACCCACGTCAAACCCGGGTGCCAGCTCATAACCCTCAGACACGTCTAACTATTTGGCTAAAAGGTCTAGACCCGGATCACTTGGTAGCACCTATGTTAGCTATAAACCCCCCACTGTTACATTGGCTTCTATCAAAAATGTCTGATGTATAATTTTCCTGTACCAACTGAAATGGTCTGGACATCTGGGGTGCATGTCTGCAGCTTCTCTTGTAGTTTCATGATAAAAACCTTTATAGAACATTTCTGCCCCAATGGGCTGAACAGTTGAGTATGATCCAGACTTCCTAAATTCTGAGTGGTGCAGGTAAAATATATAACCGTTATGTCTGGTGCAGGTAATCTTCAATTTTACCTGCACCAGTGCAGGTATGCAGAAAAAAGAATTTTATGTAAGGCCACCGCAAATAAATTTTATGGATGACATCCTCCGCAGCCTACAAATCTAGTGCGAGTGGAAAAAAAAAAAAAACAAGGCGGGCTGAAAAAAAGGTTCCTACATCTCGTGAGCTCTGCTAATCCAGCTTTCTTCTCATCCCTGCTCAGAATCTATGCTTCTACCCTTCTAATTAAGATTGACAGTAAACCTCCCCTACTTAAATGTTTTCACTTAGGCCACACTAATTTAATTTCTTGGTTAACGGATTCGCCGCTTAATTTTTTTCTGATTTGCAAATAAAAATAAAAATTCAGAATCAACTGCAAAATGCTCATATTTTGCCCAGAACAGTTGAAAACAGTCCTTTTCATCCTACTTGTTACAGTTATTCCATCTTTCAATGCAGTGGTATCATTAAAAGTTCAAAATTCATTGCTTAATTTTTTAACCAGCCTGGTATGTTGACTTTATGGCTCCAATCGTACCATTTTGGGCCATAATAGGATGTCTAGGCCTGTTTTTATTACCTCCGGGGAAGGAGATATCCTTCCGCGAGGAGGTTTTACTATGGTTCGAAACATTTCTGTCAGCAGCTGTTTCTCGCGATCGGCTGGACGGATTTGTCTGTGGTTCGGTATACGTATTGCTATTGGGCTGCAGATGATGCAGAACGTTTTTGTTTAATTGCATATGTGTTTATGGGCGTCGAAATAAAAGGTTTTTAAGTGCTCCGGACACCCCCGCCATGCTGAAAATGGTAATTACCATGTTGTTAAGGAATGGGGCGGTTGCAGTTTTGGGTCTTAGCATTCAAAAGGGGTCAAACAGAGGGGTGTCTGGTTCCGATAAAAATTTTGGGTGACGGCGCAGCTATGACGGCGCGGGATGACGGCGGGGGTAATGGCGCGGGTGACGGTGCAGACTGTCAGACACGTTAATCAACAGTCCATACCGAACCAACCGTCAGTAGCCATCAAACACATACAAACATATTACGCACATAACCTTCATACTACACACAAACAAATAACCTAAACCAATAGAACACAAAAAACCCGGAGGTTTGAAATCTACGATTTCCCTTGTTTTTATTTTTTTTCGCCCGCCTGCTCCATTATTTTTCTTTAAAATTCCGTTAACCAATAAATTAAATTGGTGTGGCCTTAGTCTAATATATACATTTTACATATTTTATCAGCATGGTTGGTTTGATGAGTGTACCATTTCATGAGCCTATAAATTTGAGAAAATTACATTGGGCCACAGCAAGTAAATTTTATGAATGACATCCTCCACAGACTCCAAATCTAATTGCGAGTGGGTGAAAAAAAAGGCGGGCCGAAAAAACAACTTGAAGGTTCCTACAATTTAAAATTTTGACTCAATCATTGCACAAATGGTATTTATTCAGTGGGAACATCACATATACACAGCCAACATCATATATCACTACATCAAAGTAAGAAACAAAACATTAAATCAGAGCCGCCTTTTCTTGTCTCCTCTCTTCATAGTTATCTGCCATCCACCTTCCGGCATGGCAGAAGACATCTTTGCCCATTTTCGGCATGTTGACGACTGTCAGAAGGCAACAAAATTTCTTGTTTTTTTTTCTCAAAAATCAGACGAAAATTAATGCGCGCGCTGATGTCATCCATAAAAATTACTTGCTGTGGCCTAATTATATAATGAAGCTCAGCCGCTAAATGAATTTAGCTACTCTGGCTGCTTGGACATTACAATTAAAAGATTGTTTATTTTTTCCCCACAATGTTTTCCTAGGATCAAATTCTCGGTCTGCAAGAAGTGCATCAACGCAAAGGACAGTGGGAGTTCTACATCTGACCAATCAGGAACAGGACAGCTCTGAGGAGGAAGATGAACAGGAAGAGTCCATTCAGCACCCAACAGGTGGGGGGAGGGTTCTATATACAGTGTATATGTTGTTATGATCAATGATATTGAAGACGAACAACATTTTATTTTGAATTGTACACTATATAATGATAAACTCACAAAGTTGTTCAATCTTCTCTCCGCCTGCTCAACAGAATTTGTTACATTTGATGCTATAGATAAATTTAATTTCATCCTAGAAGGTAAAAACGTTAACCCTTACTGTGTACAAATAGGTAAATGTATCAAAGAATGTTTAGACCTTAGAACAAGTAGTATTAGTTGACTCATCTATTGTTTTGTACGTAGGTTAATTTCGTTGTACCCATGTATTTGTCTGTATATCTACATGCAGTCTTAGACCTTATGAAAGTCGCTGTACTTTTGTTGTGTCAATGACTTTCTCTGTATGATTTATCCCTTATGCAAATTACTTATTTACATAGCATTGGTTTTAATTATTCTTCCTCCTTCAGATTTGAAAAAAATGTCTTTTTTTTCTACTGGGAAAACTTTAGGTCTTTGGAAAATGTAAAATGCAAATATGTACAATAAAGGTCTTCATTCATTCATTGATCCTTCTAAAATCCCTCCATCTCCAGCACTGGTTGACCAGAAAGGTGTGGCAGGCAGTGAGGTCTACTCTTTCAAGACTCCCAAAAGGACAGGCCAGATGACCAGATTAGGTAATACTGCATTTTGTTCTGTATCTTTGTCAATAAAACAGCAAATATGTCTCAATCACAGCTTTTTGTATTCCAGATACAGGGCTCAAAATACTTTTTTTCGGGTATGTGCAAAATTGCACATTGGCAAAAAGTTAAGTTGCAGTTTGAAAAATTTATGTGCAAAAGTCCGTCTGCAACTGTTCTCCAGCTGGTTTATCACAAACACTAGAGTAACTGTTGGAGATTCTGAAAATAAAGAAAAAAATTCATATGGCGCATAAAGAAAAACAGTCTGAGAGCAATAAATCATTTTTATTTTACATAATTGTTTTCCTTGATTATCCTGCTGCACGATATCATAAAAGAAAAATATACTGCTTATATAAATAATGTATGGTTAAGTTTGCTTCTTTGCTTCCTGCAATGGCTTCCTCCCCCTACTACTCTAGGTGCAAAATTGCACATTCAAGATATTTTTAAGTGCAAATCTTGAAAATCATGTGCATTTTGCACATTGCACATGGGTATTTCGAGCCCTGCAGATAAATATTTTAAAGTATTGCACTTGTAGGCAGGGTAAAAGAACCCAACACACTTACTGTAAATGCATGTACCTTTGCAGCAGTTTTATTTCACAGTAGGGGAGAAAAGGAGGTTTTTACAGTGCTTTACGTTCACACATAGTTGAAATATTTCTGTAGCACCATGGTCATGGAACTACAAAACACATACCGGTAGTTACAGTGTTGTGATTTAAAAAAAAAACAAGAATTAGACCACTGGAAAAGTTTCTTCAGTTACTGTATTGATCATTTCCCTTGGCTGTGTAGTGAAGCCATGTTATATTTTTAGCTGTACTTGAAAAAGCACCAGCTGAAGATGACAAACAAAGAGAGAGGCATCTTAAAATCCTGACATTAGGTAAGAAAGGAATTATATCAAACCCTTGGCGGGATGCCCCGACAAAGGCTTGCCTTGTATACGTACATTGTAGTCCTTATTATAATTAGAATAGAATAGATCAATCCTGTCATGTATTTCAGCTGAAGACTCAGTGAAGAATCAGACGCCCAAACCAACAAGTGGTAAAACACCTGTTAGGAGATCCACTAGAAAACCTACAAAAAGAACAAAAGGTACTTAGCAGCACAGTTTTACATACATTTCTCTTCGATCACAATCACTTACATGTATTTTTCACAAGCCGACGTTTCGATGACCATCTGTCATCTTCAGCAGGGCAATTCTGACATAGTTCACAGTGAACTGTTACTTGGTTCACAGTGCACTTTTAAAAGCTGTTAACAATGCATTTTCGAACGTAGTGCAATTGTATAGAGTTAGATTAGTATAATTAATATCTCTTTATTGTTATACATTGTATATGAAAGTAGATCAGATTCTTAGAACAGTCAGAAATGTCATCTCTTAGAACTGTTACATGTAGATATTGTTAGCATCACCAACTATGTATATTTTGTCATAAATTGTACCTGTTACATTGGTTGTGCAATAAAGTTCTATGTCTATGTATATAGCTACTTTTCAATAGAGAAGTAACATTTGCAAAGCAAATGCATAATGTTCACCTTCGGACATGGTCTGCTCTGTTAATTCTTACTCAAACACATTCACATAACGTTACATGTACTACTAGCATATGGTGATAGGAGCAGAGCAGATAGACCATGAAATTGCAACATTATGTAACCCAATACCAGTCACCATGGTGACAGACGTCAACAAATCATGTCATTAGTCAGGTCATAGGTCACTGTTTGGATAAGAAGAAGAAGAAGAGGAGGAAACTGAGTAAAAACAATATGTTTTCCTTCGGTAAACATAAGTACTGATTGATGTTAACATAGATATCTCTTCGTATACATCAGCATCTTACAGGGCCAGTAGTTCAGATGAAAGTGAGAGTGATGACAGTGGAGAAAGTGAGAGCAGTGCAGGGGAGGAGCCAGAGCCTGTCAAACCAAGGAAACCTGCAGTACCGCCCACTGTCACCAGGAGGAGGAGGGGAGGGGGGCAGGAGGAAGTCCTGGTCAGTAGAGCAGATGTTACTATTGGGTTGTGTAGTAAGGCCACACCAATTTAGTTTCTTGGTTAAGGGATTTTTCTAGAAAAATAATGGAGTGGGCGGGCGAAAAAAATAAAAACAGGCCTAGGCATTCTATTATGGCCCAAAATGGTATGATAGGAGCCATGAAGTCAACACACCAGGCTGGTTCAAAATTTAAACAATGAATTTTGAACTTTTAATGATACCACTGCATTGAAAAATGGAATAACTGTAACAACAGGGAAGAAAAAGACTGTTTTCAACTGCACAGGGCAAAATATGAGCATTTTGCAGTTGATTCTGAATTTTTATTTTTATTTGCAAATCAGAAAAAAATGAAGCGGGCGAATCCGTTAGCCGAGAAATTAAATTGGTGTGGCCTAAGGCTCCAAAATGGGAACACGATTGTAGGGCAGACAGTACTATTAAATCTGGCCATAGCAACACATGCTTAAATACACTAAAAGAAGTCCCCGTGAAAGAAGTTACCCATCCTTCAATCTTAAAAATTCTTATGCACCAGGTAGCCACAAGGGTCTGATCCCCAAATATAAAAAGTAAACAGGGGGTCGACCTGGTCAAATTCCCGCTACAGCTGATGATAGTAAACAGACCCTACTTTTGACCTAATTTTCTAACGTATCCATCCGCCCTAAGGCCATCACATCACTCAGGTCTCTCATGGCCTGATGACAGTTGTGATGTTTGTGTACTCCCCACAGCCAGAGATGGTGGAGGAGTATTTCCACGCCCACGGCGGTGCCAGGCCAGGTCCCACGTCTGACCGGACCCTGTCCAAGCTGCAGATCCCCCGCATGGACCAGGCCAGGCTGCAGTCAGTCCTGCAGTACGCACCTGCAGCACACATCCAGCACCTGCAGCAGCTGTATCAGCAGCACAGGACTCACTTCCACAAGTGGATGTTACAGCTCAGGTACTGGAATGGACCTATAACATTATTACGTCACAGTTTGTTCATACCTGTTCTAAAGAACATTCTAGAACGGTCAGTTAAAGAATGAAGATCATTAATAAATAAAAGTTTTCAAAGTAAGGTATGTCTGATTTTTTTGCTGCATCTAGTTGTGTTGACACAGCATTACATGCCGCATGGGTGACTTAGTTGTGACATCAGACGAAAGTAGTACTGTATTAAAAGCCTTATATGGCTAATTGTGGATCTGAATAAAACTGAAAATGGGCTAATGCTACACAAACACACACCGCGCTATGCACCCCTGTACAATATAAACGTTGATTGACCCGCATTCATTGCGGTAAACAAACTGTGGCGTAATAATGGTATAGGTCCATTCAATGTGGCGTGTGTAGTCCAGTCGTTAGGCCACACCAATTTAATTTCTTGGTTAACGGATTTTTCTAGAAAAATAACGGAACGGGCGGGCGAAAAAAATAAATAAATAAAAATAGGCCTAGGCATCCTATTATGGCCCAAAATGGTATGATAGGAGCCATGAAGTCAACACACCAGGCTGGTTCAAAATTTAAACAATGAATTTTGAACTTTTAATGATACCATTGCATTGAAAGATGGAATAACTGTAACAACTAGGAAGAAAAGGACTGTTTTCAACTGTTCAGGGCAAAATATGGGCATTTTACAGTTGATTCTTATTTTTGTTTTGCAAATCAGAAAACAATGAAGCGAGTGAATCCGTTAACCAAGAAATTAAATTGGTGTGGCCTTAGCAACCTTCCTCTGGACTGAGGGGTTGGGAGTTCGATTCCCAGCAGTTGTCGCTCACTTGAAATGCACACTTCTTCTGGAATTCCATGTGGGGAGTGTAGTCTAATGGTTAACAAGCCTGCCTCTGGACCAAGGGGTTGGGATTTCGAATCCCAGCCGTTGTCCCTCACCTGACATGCACTGTGACTACTGGAAAGGGTCGCAGTCCCTAGGACGAACGTTAAGCAAAAAGAGCTAGGGGAATTTCCCTGTACAATGAACCTGTAAATGCTGTAAATAGTATCTGTCATGACTTTATGAATTGAATATGACCCATGATGTAAAAGTATGATCTGAAAGAAAACAAAACACAGAAATGGTACAAATGTACAATACACACTCTATGAATAGAATCAAATAATGAGAATTTAGTCACTCAATTTATATGTTCAGAGTGGTTTTAACTTTACTCTTTCAGCAGATCAACCCAGTTGCGTGTCGATTTGGCCAATTTATTTCTTTCCATCCACTAATATGAAGCTTCATGCCCGTAGCCAGGATTTTGAATGGGGGGGGGGGGATTCCCACTGCTTGAGGGACCAGCGAGTGCCAAAGGCGCAATGTTCCAAGGGGGTCTGGGGGGTATGCTCCCCCAAGAAATTTAGAAAAATGAACCTTCTGAAATTTCATTTCCTGCGTTTTTAAGAGGATTTCAAAGAAAAAATC